AAAGCGCTCGGATAAAAAGAACATTCGGATAGTTTTTAGATTTATCATCCAGAAAGAAAAAAAATTATTAGATATATATATATATATATATATATATATATATATATAATGTCATCCAGTGACAGACTGTTTCGCTGTATCACAGCACCTCAGTGCGGCTAGACGTCCGGCTGCTTCTAACTAGGATGGAGACTCGACTGAATTGGCGTCACTCGGAGATTCTACTACTAAGCCATCGGCGCACGGTAGGGGTCAAGGTCAATTTAAGCGTATTTATTTTTAGATAAACACACAGTGACCGACAGGACTCGATTCGCTTTACCGAAGAGTCTTGCTATATCAGCCGTAATAGTCACTGTTTACAAACCCACACTTCCTTCCCCAGAGAACGCAACCGAATTTAATTTTTCAGGAACATATATATATATATATATATATATATATATATATATATATATATATATATATATATAGTGATAGTCACTTACCCCGGTAGTTCACTGCTCCTGACATGCAGGATTTTTTTTTTTTCTGATGATGATGGCCATGCTGGGCAAAACTAATCGAGGAACATAATTTCAATAATAATACAAGAATATTAATATACAACCCAATGTGTTTGAAATTTCAATTTTTAACACTTTTTATTGTTCAAGACATATATATATATATATATATATATATATATATATATATATATATATATATATAAAATTCCCAAAAGGATAGAATCCAGGTAGAACTCAATGTCCAGGACAGAGTAATAAAATAATATAAAAGGCTCTTTCGCTGTATAACATAGCTCATCAGTGTGGCTAGAAATTCGATTGCTTCAAGTCGGGGTCGAAACTCGACCGATTTGGCATCAGTTAGATATTCTACCCCTAAGCTATTGGCGCACAGTACGTGTACATACATATACAGCCATCCAAATATATAAATATACAGTGTAACCCGGATATAAGAGACCCGGATATAAGAGAAACCCGGATATAAGAGAGATTTTCTCTGGTCCCAAATTGTTCCCATACTTACCTAAACAAAATACACCAAACCCGGATATAAGAGAAACCCGGATATAAGAGATATTATCTCTGGTCCCAAAGTGTTCCCATACTTACCTAAACAAAATAGACCAAACCCGGATATAAGAGAAACCCGGATATAAGAGACTTCTTCTCCGGTCCCGACAACTCTCTTATATCCGGGTTACACTGTATTAGAGCCTCTTTTTTTGTATACTTGCACATGCATATACACAATATACATGCCCACTCATATCTCTCTCTCTCTATATATATATATATATGTGTGTGTGTGTGTGTGTGTGTGTGTGTGTGTGTGCGTGTGTGCATACATATATACAAACACACACACATAGATAGAGCCGTTGAGCCGCTTGTGGGACTTCCTTTCTAGTCACTTTTAATCTTCAAAAATTTAAATGCAATGTCAATCGCTATCTATTGTCCCCCTGATTACTCTTCTACAGTTATCCATCCATTGTTGTTTCTCTCTTCTAATTCTTCTACAGACAGTAACCCCTTGTGTCTTAGTGGCTTTACTCCCTTCCTGCCTTGTATGGGGTGAAATCGATAAAAAACATCGATACATACATATAAACAACTATATCTCGTTTATTATATATATATATATATATATATATATATATATATATATATATATATATATATAAAGAAGAAAAATCTTAAATATTCATTTCGGTTATAATTTATTAATTTATTTAGTGAATACCGAAATATTCACCTCTTCGAATCGAAATTCTTTTGTAAATGAATGTAATTTGTAATTATTTTTAGATGGGTAATCTTTCTTACTTAAAGTTTAATACGAAACTTAAACTTTAAGTAAGAAAGATTACCCATCTAAAAATAATTACAAATTACATTCATGAATTAGATTCAAACTCATAAAGATGTTACCTTAACTGTCTTTTACATTAAAAAAGTACGATTGGTCGGGTAAACAAACTGTTATAGTTTAATTTTTTTTTAATTTGTTCTCTATGAATTTGTTAATAAATATATTATTTAACTTAAATTATTTGTAAAAAAAAAGTTAAATATTTAAATTGCTAGCAAGCATCAAATTAACTTCGTCGATATTTTTAGACATCTAAATTACTATCAAACATTAAAATCTATTTTTTACATAAATTGCCAAAACTTACCACCCCTCCCCTTCATATGTAAAACCCATTTACAGTCTCTTTCTCTTTACTTCCCCCTTCTTTCTTTTTCCTTTTTCTTTTCTCTCTACTCGCCTCCCATTTCAATATATCACTTCCGTTAAGTTAACCGTCTAAATAGGTCAAGGTCTGGTCACTCCTCCTCCCCAATACTAAGCATGATTGAGAGAGATATGAAATTAATCCCTCCCTAAACTCTACCATGTCTCTCTAACCACTCCTTATTAAACTCTATGTTAAATTACAAAAACTTACAGTACCCGTCAATTTTCATTTCATTTTTTGTTTCATTTTTGGAAGTACTATCTGATGATCCGGCGTCCTTTAAAAGGGTTCTGGTGAAATAAATTATTATAATGGAATCTTAAAGTGGTCTGTTTTTCTTTATTATATATATATAATATTAAAATTTTCATGAGAAGCTATATAGTGTAAATATTGTCAAAAATGATATCGCATCTTCCCAGAAATTAGGGGAGTAACTCATAGCTTCTCATGAAAATTTTAATCATTTTTTTTTTCTGTTTTTTGTTTCTGAAATCTAATCAAAAGGAAAAATTTCATTAGAAACAAAGAAAAGGGTACATAGTTGTTACGTAAAATCAGTCCTCCTCTATGTCGGTAAATGCTGGGCAATCTCCTTACAGATGAAGAAAAGATTGAATCATGATAAAAGTGGTTCTACAGAAGGATGCTGAGGATAACATGGACTGAACATAATAGCAACGACAAAGTTTTAAAGAAAATGGAAACATAAAGGTCATTTATAATTAACATCGGGAAGAGAGAATTGAAATTTGTAAGGTGTATAATAAGAAAAGAGGGCTTGGAAAATTTAACACTCACAGGATACGTTGAAGGCGAGAGGAACACAGGAAAACAACACATAATGATCTTGTACAAAGGAACAGCGGGGCAAGATTTAGGCGAGGTAACAAAATGATAAAATTTACTAAGAGCTACAAAGGAAAGGAAATTGTGGAGAGACATGATCACCAACGTCCTGATACTCTACACCATGTAGGGTAATAAAAAGATGGTTGCAGTCAGCCAAAGTTCAAAGATGTAGAATAAGGAACGGGTAGGCGAATAAGAGATGTCAGGAAATTCCAAATCGAACATGCAGAAATAGTTCCGTAGACAAGTAGAATTGAAGATGAGAAGATGTTTGCAACGACAAAGCGATGCTTTATTAATGGCGGACGAGAACAATTGAATAAGAAGAAATAATATTAATGGCGAGTTGGAAGAGCAAAGGAAGATGGCAAATTCAGATCGTGTGGAGACAGGAATGTGACTGTCAATCAATAGGCGAGTGTTAAAAGTAGTCTCAGAAGGTGCCAAAGAGAAGGAAGGAAGAAGAAAAAACAGGATTGAATGTAAAAGGATGAAAAAATCTACAAATGGAGAGAAAGAAAACGACAAGAAAAAGAAGAGGGAAGAAAAATAATAGAATGAGGAGAAATCGAAAGGAAAACGAAGAATTTAGAAGAAATAAAAGAAATTTAACGAAAAAACGAAACCAAAAGAAGAAGATGGCGGAGGAGGAGAAAGAGGAGGAGGAGGAGAAAAAGAAAAAAAGAAAAGAAGAAGAACAACAAAAACAATAAGTCAAATTACTTTTCTAAAAGGATAATGATGAATGAAGAAAAATGAAAACGAAGAAGACAAAGAAGCAGGAGTAAGAGAAGCAGTCGAAGAAAAAAAGGAGAAGAAAAAAAAGAATGATGATAATGATGATGATGATCAGGAAGAGGAAGGGGGGAAAGAAGGAAAAGAAGAAAAATATGTTACTTTTTTAAATTAAAGGCTGCATGACTGGTAATAGATGAAGAAGAAGACAGAAAGAAAGAAAGAAAGAAAGAAAGAAAGAAAGAAAGAAAGAAAGAAATGAACAGGTGCTGGAAAAGAAAGAGAGAAGGAAATGAACAGGTGCTGGAAAAGAAAGAAAGAAAGAAAGAAAGAAAAGAAAGAAAGAAAGAAAGAAAGAAAGAAAGAAAGAAAGAAAGAAATGAACAAGTGCTGAAAAAGAAAGAAAGAAGGAAGTGAACGGGTGCTGAAAAAGAAAAGAAAAGAAAGAAAGAAAGAAAGAAAGAAAGAAAGAAAGAAAGAAAGAAAGAAAGAAATGAACAAGTCCTGGAAAAGAAACAAAGGAAGTGAACAGGTGCTGAAAAAGAAAGAAAGAAAGAATATTCTAGAAAAGAAAAAGAATATCGTATAACATACAGAAAGAGAAAAGAAAAAAAACGAAGCTAAATGAAGAAGACATGGAAGTAGTATGAACGGAAGTAGTAGATGAAAAAGAAGGAGAAAAAGAAGAACAATGAGGAGGAGGAGGAGGAAAAGAAAAAGAAAAGAAGAAAAAAAAGAATGATGAGGAGAAGAAGAAAAAGAAGCAAAATGTTACTTTTTAAATTAAAGACTGCTTGAATTATAATAGAAGAAGAAGAAGAAGAAAAAGAAGAAGAAAAAGAAGAAGAAGAACAAGAAGAAGAAGAAAGACATATTACTTTTTAAATTAAAGACTGCATGAATTGTAATAAAAGAAGGAGGAGGAGAAAAAGAAGAAAGAAAGAAAGAAAGAAAGAAAGAAAGAAAGAAAGAAAGAATTTTACTTTTAAAATTAAAAAATGCATAAATTGTAATAGAAGAAGAAGAAAAAGAAGAAGAAAAAGAAGAAGAAGGAGGAGGAGGAGGAGAAGAAGAAAAGAAGAAGAAGAAATAAAGAAATTATATTACATTTTTAAATAAAACGCTGCATAAATAATAATAGAAGAAGAATTAAAGAAATGGAAAAAATCTGTGAAAAAACAAAAGACCAAGACGAAGAAGATGAATGAATGAATGAATGAATGAATGAATGAATGAAATTTTAAAACAAAAAAGAATTAAATCTCATTTTAGTAATACCGAAAAGAAGGAAATTAACAATACGAAAAAAAAAATCATTTTGAAAGGGGAGCTAAACTCAACACCTTATAAAAGATTGCCCTAACCGAATTTTTAAGTGAATGCAATAAACGTTCATTTGCGTTCAAAGGTGCTGGAAATTCTAAACTCTACAGAAAAAAAATATAAAAATACTTCACACTTAAAACTGGATGCTTTAAATCAAAAAGGTGTTACATTAAAAGGTTTCTGGATACGCTCAAATACCTTTGAGAAACTTAAATCCACGTCTTCTCTCCCCACCTATGGGTTAATTATTGATTCTTATATCAGCAAATCATCATTATCTCCAAAAAACGCCTTGCAATCTAAAAATATTATCTGGCTTTAAATAACCTACAAAGGGTTGATAAACCGTCGAAAACGAATCAATCAATAAATCAAATATTGATTTGCTACAGAGGCATGTCTTTTGGATTTATTTACATTATCTGAAATAGAAATGTATAAAAACTACCTTGGACACAATGTGAGGGATCCGTTTATATATTGATTGTAATGTAGAATCGATCGCCCACTTTATATCCACATTATAATTTCCTGTTTGTTTATCAAATTCTGATTAATTATGATATGTAGATAGAAGAGACTATTAGCATAGGACTTACGGTTGCATCTAGCGATATCAACTGGAAAATGATGAGACCTCGCCGCCAATCCAGTACTGCGCTTAAATTCATTAAGTCTTGGTACGATAGACGGAAGTTCATCAAAACAATTACCATAAAAATATTTCAAGAAAAGAAAGAGGGAAGATACATTATGGCGGTGAGAAAGCGACTGTAAGTGAAATGCCATGTCAGGATCAATAACATTGCAGATTTCTTCTTTGGATTTCTTTATAAATCTCTTGACGTATAAATTGCAATGTTTGCTTGATTTTGACATCTCTAATTCGTAGCTCGCATCATTAGCTGTTTTTCATATGGACAACCACACAGAGAGTAAATATTATTATGAAGGACAACAGTTTTTTTATTGTATAGTTGAGCTCCCCAAATTCATAAAATTACACGAATAGGCTCTCCACGTTAAACCGACTATATGGCACATCCTAACTCGTCATGTTTTTAAAGAACCTCATCAAATCTAGGCACTCATATGTGTGTCACGTATGTCACCCAACCTTTAGGAATGTCTGAATTATCAACCTTACACACCACCGTCTCAGAACAATGTTTAAAAATGGCTTCTAGCGATTGAAACTCCCTAGGTATTTAGAACCATTCTCTATGCAAACTGGTGTTCGTCAGGGATGTCTGCTGTCGCCGACGATCTTCCTGTTGGTGTTCGACTGGTTAATGGGGCAGGCCACGGCAGGCAGGAGGACTAGTGAGCCGTTATGAAGCAACTGGAAGATCTGTACATCGCAGACGACATCAGCCTTCTCTCCCACAAACAAGACGCGCAGGAGAAGCTGCGTCGTGTTGCAGAAGAAACGGAGGAAGACTGGATGGAGGAGGGGACAGATAAAAATATCAAATACCGAATCAACAAAGCCCGACGGGCATTCAGTAACATGATGGAGGAGGGGACCAATCTGGAGATCAACAGTCCTCTCACTTTGCAACAAGACCCGGATCTTCAACACCAACATCAAGACAGTCCTACTTTACGGCTCAGAAACCTGACGGGTAACCAAGACCAACACCTGTAAACTTCAGACATTTACCAACCGATGTCTTAAGAACATTCTCAATATCAGTTGGCCGGAAGTCGTCTCCAACAACCAACTGTGGGACAGGACCAGACAAACCCCAATCGAGATTGACATCAAGAAACAGAAATGGAGATGGATTGGTCACACACTCTGCAAACCTGCTTCTAGTGTCACCAAGCAGGCCCTTAATTGGAATCCACAGGGGAAGTGAAAAGTGAGTCGACCAAAACAGACTTGGAGAACCGATACGACATTAGCCAAGCTGAAGAGGATCGCCCGGAACCTCGTCAGTTGAAGAGGTGTTGTTGCAGCCCTATGTACCCTAAGGAATCAAGAGGCATAAATAAATAACAACAACAATTCAACAACTTCATACATTTACCAACCGATGTCTTAGTAACATTCTCAATATAAGGTGGACGAAAGTCTTCTCCAACGACCAACTGTAGGACAGGACTAGACAAGTTCCAATCGAGAATGACATCAAGAAATGGAAATGGGGATGGATCGGCCACACACTCTGCAAACCTGCTTCTAATGTCACCAAGCAGGCCCTTAATTGGAATCCACAAGGGAAGTGAAAGGTTTGTCGACCAAAACAGACATGGCGTAGAAGTGTTGACGTAGAGGTGAAGACAACCGGGACGACATGGGCCGAGCTGAAAAGGATTGCCCGGAAGTGATTCCGTTGGAGAGGTGTTGTTGCGGTCCTATGTTCCCCAAGGAAACAAGGGGTAAGAGAGAAACAGAAAATGGGGATGGATCGACCATACACTCCGCAGGCCTGCATTTAGTGTCCCCAGGTAGACCCTTGACTGGAATCTACAAGGGAAGCGAAAAGTGTGTCGACCAAAACAGACTTGGCACAGTGACGCAGAGGTAAAGGCAGCCGGCGCGACATAGGTCGAGCTGAAGAGGGTACCCCATAACCGCATCCGTTCGTGAGATGTTGTTGCGGCCCTAGGTTCCCCAAGGAATCAAGAAAGAAGAAAGGCCTTAGAGAGGACGAAACTACTTCAAACCCTGTGGACTGGCGCTACAGAATCACAAACAAAGAACTGTAGCAAATAACCGAAATAAAATCACTTGAGGACTTTCAGCAGCAGTAACAACTAAAATGGATATCACATAAACGTAAAAGTATTGACATAATCTTGACAAAAGGTTGAGAAACTCCCAACAATACTAGAAAAGGCGATAACAAGTAACTGGACGTCAGAGGCTTATTTTATGGATATCGCAGCTTGGACCCGGAACTACGACAAGTCGCGATGAACAGATGTCCCCTCGGGGAAATACAGTGCCATGAAAGACTACTGGGTCTCATACTCGCCACTGACCGCAAGTAGAACTCGTATATTCGATCCATTGTTAAGTATACAGGCAAAATGATCGGCTCTCTGTACTGCTCTAGTAAGTACCTGATACCTGATATCTTCTATCTTTACAAGAGACAGATCAAGCCAAAAACGGAGTACTACTATCATATTTGTCGAGAGATGCCCAGTCCTCGCTCTCTAGCCTTGATTGAGTCCAAAAGCTCTTCGAGTTCTTGTGGGTGACGAACATCCAACCTCTCTGTCAATGACAGGATGCGGCAAGCCTCTCGCTGCTTCCACGGAAAGTGCTCAGACGAACTACATTCCCTGGTCCCACCAATTCAAACCTTCACGGCAAGGACACGCCATACCACTTACATAGTATCAAATCACCCACATTTCCTCCGTATTCCATCGGTGAGAAGTAAGTTACCCTCGAACTCCTTTTTCTGGCGAACAAATGCTCTGTGGAACCGACTCCTAGGAGGATGTTTCCCGATCACTACAATCTTAACATATTCAAGACTAGTATTAACCGACCGTTATCTTCATCAGCACAAATTTCTTCCTAACGTAAACCTCTACCTCGAGTGGCACCGGGGCCTTCTGTATAGTGAACCTTACTGTAAATTTCAACCGACACTAGCACTGGCGGCTCGACCAATAAATACCGAATATTTCCTTATAAGGAAGCGGCTAATATTAGCATTACTCTGACCATTATCCATTAGAGCCCCAGCTTGCAGCCATATCACGTTGAAGCACCGGAAGTTAAGCAACGCCGAGCCTGATCAGTACTTTGGTGGGTAACCGCATGGAAATATCAAATGCTGTAAGTTTAGATGTGCGGGTGTTATAGCATATGGCCATATCTGCGAAGTTAAGAAACGTCGAACCTAGTCAGTACTTCAGTGGGTAACCTCTTGGAAATACCAAATGCTGTAAGTTTGGATGTGCTGGTGGTATAGCTTGGTGCCATATATTCGAAGTTAAGCAACGTCGAGCCTGGTTAGTACATCGGTGAGTAACCGCTTGGAAATATCAGGTGCTCTAAGTTTGGATGTACGAGTAGTAGAGCTTACGGCCATATCTCCGAAGTTAAGCAACGTCGAGCCTGGACAGTACTTCGGTGGGTAGTGGCTTGGGAATGCGAGGTGCTGTGTGCTTGGATGTGCGGGTGGTGTAATGGATATTGTAAATCGAAGTGCCAAGTTCCAATTCCCGTTGGGTTCGTTATATTCACTTACGCGCAAATATCCTTTGGAAAGAGTATGAATCCACACCTTTGCTCCCCGTTATGGGTTAATCAGCAAGACCTGTATCTCTAAACCATCATTATCATCTGAAAAAAAAAAATATATATATATATATATATATATATATATTTGCTTTTAATAACCTTCAAACTTGATAAGTCGAAGAAAACGAATCTATCAATTATTTATAGCATGAAAGCGATAATGACGATGATTTTAGAAGAATGTTACGCAGCTCACTTATTTTTTTTTCAATTACGTGTGTTGATTATTGTTCGTAAGTGAGTAATCCAATTCTTTTTGGTGACTTGTTCGATTTCGATGCGCACCATGTGGCACATATTTTGTTCTCTTTCTCGAAGAAATAAAAATAAATAAATTGGCACATAGAATTCTTCCATATTTTTTTTTAGTCTCTTTTCTCATTCAGTGTGACTTATAAGGTGATCGATAATCGATAGACTGCATCAAGTAGGGCGGAAACTGATTTTTAAGAGAAGGTGACATGTTGTGGAAGGCATATTTGAATGGAATTACATTTGAATATATTGATCGCCTTTTGAAAAGAAATGGCGCAAGTAAATATATAAGAAATAAAAGAATTTTCTGGAACAAAAAGGAGAGAAATCGATCGCAATGAGTGAAGAAATTTCTGACTTTACATAAATTTTACTTCAATCATTTTTTTTTTCCTCTGTCACCAAAATGCCACTTCGATTGGAATTTTTTTTTTTTTTATTTAGCAGAAAAATTTTGTTTTCCCTCATAAAACAAATTTTTCTTCTTTTTCGATGCAATGTCGTTCAAAAAATATGAATCTCAAAAGAAGCGTAACGATTCAAAAATGGATCATTATTGTTGCGAATAAGCAATAATGAGAAAAGCGTTGCTGTTTTTAATCTTTTTTTTTTTGCGGGGAGGGGCCCCACACGGAATTCATTTTCTGTGTATGAATTAGCAGATTTAAAAGGGCTCTGTAACTTTCGTTGGTAACCAATCTAAGAGAAGGAAAACTTCTATATTAAAAAGACAAAGAGAAACTATAATAATAATAATAATAATAATAATAATAATAATAATAATAATAATAATAATAATAATGTGGTATGTGGGAACATCAGCAATCCCCGTTGTACTTGGAGCCCTCGGATTGGTTGGAAAAAAAAAATTGCAGTAGACTAATTGAAGGCATTCCTGGAAGTCTATGCCTCAAAGAGATACAAAAAATTGTTCTGACGTGTACAGCCGACACCTTGTGAAGGGCTTTATCTATGAATTTTTTTTTCTACAATGTAATATGTCATGATGCCATTTCTAACGTTAGGTCCCTGGGCGGGACCCGGAAAGAAATGAGCACACATCAGAAATCAAAGGAAATAAAATAAAGAGAATAATAATAATAATAATAATAATAATAATAATAATAATAATAATAACCAATGCTTGCTAACTAGGAATTATCAAGCACATATACTAAAATATTGTGTCAGCCCAAAATGCAGATTCTGTGATAAATATCCAGAAACGATTGATCATCTTGTATCAGGGTGCACGATGTTGGCACCCACTGAATATAAAACCAGACATGACAGAGTGGGCCAATATCTGCACTGGAAAATCTGCAACTTCTACGGGAAGGAAACTGAAAGAAACTGGTATGAACACCACCCAGACCCGGTTACGGAGAATGGGACCTGTTACAATTCTATGGGACTACACAATACACACTGACAGAACAATCAAAGCCAACCGCTTGAATATTGTTATTAAAGACCACAAAAAAAAACGGTGCCTCCTTATTGATATGGCAGTCCTGCTGACTGCAGTGTATCTTTGAAGATATTCAAAAAGTTGTCAAAGTACAAGGACCTTGAAATAGAAATCGCGAAAATGTGGCATATGGGAACATCAACAATCCCTGTTGTAGTTGGAGCCCTAGGACTGGTTGGAAAAGATTGCAGTAGACTAATTGAAGGGATTCCTGGAAGTCCATGCCTCAAGGAGATACAAAAAATTGTTCTGACAAGTACAGCCCACACTTTATGAAGGGCTTTATCTATGTAATTTTTTTTTTTTTTTTTTTTTGTCAGTGGAAAGTGTCATGATGCCATTTCGAACCTTAGGTCCCTGGGCGGGACCCGGAAAGAAATGTGTAAACGCCAGAAATCAAAGAAAATAATAATAATAATAATAATAATATACGCCCTTGTGCAAATTAATTGAAAGAAAACGAATAATTCCGTTATTATTTACTCTTTTTTTTTTTTTCGTATTTTTCCAATGAAACATTACCCCAGTGCACATGTTAGTACTTTCTATGTCCATACCATGAAGTCGTTCCTTGCAGATTGACCACAGATTCTTGATTAGATTTAAATCAGGAGAGTTTCCCGGCCAGTCTATAGTACTTTGATTTGCTCACTAATAAGACTTGCCAGTGTCTTCGTGCAGCTTTACAATTTTTCGTACACTTTCTTGAAATAACGTTTTCCTTTCCCCTATTCCTCCATTGGCCCTGTGCCACATTTTGTATATATTATACAAATAAATATTGATTTGAGGAGTAGTTGATTTACTCAAGTTTCTTTCCGTTCTTACGAATATATATATATATATATATATATATATATATATATATATATATTATAAATTAATTGATTTAAAATATGGTTTTTTCTTTACAGTTCCAACCATGTTTCAAAAATAGAAGCTAAAAACCCCGAATTTAATTTTGCAATTAAATTAAAAGCATTAGTTCCATTTCATCTTCAAGCGAATTTTATATATATATATATATATATATATATATATATATATATATATATATATATATATATATGAATAATGGATAGCGGCTCGGCGTGAGGAATCGGAGAGCCGAGTTCCAGTCGAATCCATAACATTCACTTACATACTAATAGGCTTGGGAAAGGTATGAATTCCCTCCTTCACCTCCCAGCTATGGGTAAATAGCAGGATAGACCGGGTTCTATAGCCATGGACGTCAACTGGTCTACCGCAGAAATAAATGCCAACCTACTGCGTGGAGGAAAAAAAATCTGCCTTGTCAGTCATGTATCGAAAGATACATGATCGCCTAAGCGTGTATCACGCATGAACTGACTGAAATTCACTTACGTGCTAATACCCTTGGGAAGGTATGAATCCTCTTCTTCTACCCCCACCCAGCTATGGGTAAATAACAGGATAGACCGGGTTCTATAGCCTTGGATGGCAACTGGTCTACCGTAGAAAGAAATGGCAACCTACTGCTGGAAAAAAAATCTGCATCGTCAGTCATGTATCGAAAGATACATGATCGCCTAAGCTTGTATCACGCATGGCACATAACTGACTGATATGGTTATTTAATAAATCTCTTCTGTTTTCTGAGAGGGAATTAAGCAGGAGATAACTGATAACTGACATCCATTAGACATGGCACGTGAACAGTTCCAACCATCTGAAGAAGGCCGGAGCGTACAGTGGTCGAAACGTTGCAATAGATATAGCGACAGAAGTCCGAATAATGTAAATAGTGTACATAATACCTCATCTCAGAAATATAGACAGATACTGGAGAAAAATCAAATTTTTAAAGCAAGAGAAAATTAAGTTCGCAGTTTCAGCTCGACTCCAGTAATGCGTACCACAAACATGCAATAGATTCTGGATTTTATAGATTTTATTTATATTTGGAACCCATGGCTGACTTCCGAAAATCTAACACTGGTGGAAAAATATCTTTGGACGAGGAAAATTACAACTACCTCTATCATAAGGAAAACGCCGATGAAACAAAAGACATACTGACGATGTGTCGAGCGATCTCGCAACACTGTTAATCTGTCATTTTAAACAAAAATAAATTTTTCATTTTATTTTTTTATTCTTTTTTAAAAACATATGATTACTACCTTTGATGTTTTATAGTAATTGCATTTAAAAACTTCAAAAAATTGTCACAGGTGCGCAATTATCAAGTGACGCAAATGTCAAAGGACGCAATTGTCTTAGACACTTCTAATTTGTAGGATTATCATTTTTTAATCATTTCATGGTAATTGCATTTTAAAGCTTCAAATATTATCAGAGGTTCGCAAATATCCATAGACTCAGTTGTCTAGGCTCGCAAATGGTCAGGGACGCAATTGTCTGCTACGCAATTGTCCGGGACGCGATTGTCTGGGACGCAATTGTCTGCTACGCAATTGTACGGGACGCGATTGTCTGGGACGCAATTGTCTGCTACGCAATTGTCCGGGACGCGATTGTCTGGGACGCAATTGTCTGCTACGCAATTGTACGGGACGCAATTGTCTTAGACACTTCTAATTTGTAGGATTATCATTTTTTAATCATTTCATGGTAATTGCATTTTAAAGCTTCAAATATTATCAGAGGTTCGCAAATATCCATAGACTCAGTTGTCTAGGCTCGCAAATGGTCAGGGACGCAATTGTCTGCTACGCAATTGTCCGGGACGCGATTGTCTGGGACGCAATTGTCTGCTACGCAATTGTACGGGACGCGATTGTCTGGGACAATTGTCTGCTACGCAATTGTCCGGGACGCGATTGTCTGGGACGCAATTGTCTGCTACGCAATTGTCCGGGACGCGATTGTCTGGGACGCAATTGTCTGCTACGCAATTGTACGGGACGCAATTGTCTTAGACACTTCTAATTTGTAGGATTATCATTTTTAATCATTTCATGGTAATTGCATTTTAAAGCTTCAAATATTATCAGAGGTTCGCAAATATCCATAGACTCAGTTGTCTAGGCTCGCAAATGGTCAGGGACGCAATTGTCTGCTACGCAATTGTCCGGGACGCGATTGTCTGGGACGCAATTGTCTGCTACGCAATTGTACGGGACGCGATTGTCTGGGACGCAATTGTCTGCTACGCAATTGTCCGGGACGCGATTGTCTGGGACGCAATTGTCTGCTACGCAATTGTACGGGACGCAATTGTTTGCTACGCAATTGTCTGCTACGCAATTGTCTGGGAAGCAATTGTCTGCTACGCAATTGTCTGGGACTCAATTGTCTGGGACGCAATTGTCTGGGACGCAATTGTCTGGGAAGCAATTGTCTGCTACGCAATTGTCTGGGACTCAATTGTCTGGGACGCAATTGTCTGCTACGCAATTGTCCGGGACGCAATTGTCTGGGACGCAATTGTCTGGGACGCAATTGTCTGCTACGCAATTGTCCGGGACGCAATTGTTTGCTACGCAATTGTCTGCTACGCAATTGTCTGGGAAGCAATTGTCTGCTACGCAATTGTCTGGGACTCAATTGTCTGGGACGCAATTGTCTGCTACGCAATTGTCTGGGAAGCAATTGTCTGCTACGCAATTGTCTGGGTCTCAATTGTCTGGGACGCAATTGTCTGCTACGCAATTGTCCGGGACGCAATTGTCCGGGACGCAATTGTCCGGGACGCAATTGTCCGGGACGCAATTGTCTGCTACGCAATTGTCTGGGACGCAATTGTCTGGGACGCAATTGTCTGCGACGCAATTGTCTGGGACGCAATTGTCTGCTACGCAATTGTCCGGGACGCAAATTTTCAAGAACTCTCCAATTTGTAAGATTAAT